AAGAGCAGCAGAAATAAGACGTTATGTTTGCACCTGGTCCTGTGTGACTCAGGCAAGCTCCTGACAGCCTCTGAGCTGTAGTCTTGTCACGTTTAGCTGGGATGAACACACCTAAATCATCCCTATCCCAAGCCCCACTGTCCCCAGTGTACAGAGTGTACAGAGTGTGGGAGAACACGTGGCCTTGTAGAGGGGTGGCCCTTGCTCAAATTCAGGCTAGCTGCCCACTGCAGTATGGGCAGAGCTTTGATTTCTTTTAGAGAAATGGGAAGCCTGTATTACGCTTTGGAGAGTGTACAGGCCAGGGCTGGTGAAATGGCCCAGTGGGTGAAGGTGCTTACCATTAAGACCCAAGCCCCATATGATGAGAGAAGAGAGTCAACTCCTATAAGTTGTCCTTTGACCTCCACGTAAGCACTGTGGCATGCATACACACATGCGCGCATGCACGCGCGCGCACACAGACACACCAAAATAAAAGTTAATAAACACATGTAATAAGAGCATGTACAGGCCAAACACAGCCTCAAGGACATGTGTTTCCAACTTCTGGACAGCATTGTGGGTGGCACTAGGGTGTGAAAGTATTTGAGAGGCTGAAAGCAATGCCAGAGCCCTCTCTACATCTGGTATAGTAGGCTAGTATTGATAGGTACTTGGAAGTGGAACAATGAGAATGAAGTCTGGCCTCAGTCTTCTGGATCAGAACCATAGCCCTCGTGGGCAGAGACACATGTCTAATCCTGGACCTCAGCTTGCCCATCTGTAAAATGAGGGACTCCTAAGTCCCCAAGGCCCCTTTGTCTTGAATATTACCTAAATCCATTAGCCCCATCCTAGGATCCCTAGACCCAGGAAGCTTCCGCCATGCTCCTAGGGATTCATTTATCCTCCATATGCCCTACAACCCCACCCTGTTAAGAGGACCAGAAACAGGCTGAGCCCTTTCTGCATCCCAATACCCAAGTGTTGCTGCTACCCCAAGCACTGAGGCAGGTCTTCACTGAGGGCATTCTGTCCTGATGCCTGGGTGGCACTTGATAAAGCAAATCAGCTAATCTGCCAGCTGTCCCTCTCCTCTGGAGAAGAGAGAGGCAGGAGGGCCCGATGAAAGCTTTATCTCTGCTGGCCTCTCTGGCCAAGCTGATGGGTGGAGTAGACAGCGGACAGGTGCTTCAGAGCAGATAGCTCCTTAGACCTCTGCACCATGAAGGGTGGGGACTTAAGATCACCTCTGCCAGGAATGGCAAGTGACCCCACCCACTCAAGAGTCCCCACACCTGGGCTTGTTGCTGGGGTATAGGTTAAAGGCCTGTGAGCCTCCTCCACCCATGATTGGTGGGGATTACCAGGGAACAGGGTGGCTGAGGAGGGCAGGGAGAGAGGGGATGGATTCTGTGTGTGAGGAGAAAGATTTAGGCCATTCAGGAAGGTTTTCAATCTGTTTAGGAGGGAGCGGGTCTAGACGCTGTCCCTGAGAAGGATGGCAGGTTTCCTGAAGCAGAGGTCTGACTATGGCAGAGATGGCTGGCAGAGTGGCCTGGGCTTGGGTGGGAGGCTTATTCACAGGGACTCAGCCAGGAAAAGAGCTGCCTCTGCCGTCATCTGGGGGTGGTAGTTGTGAAGGGTTGGGCCCCCCACAGAGAAGGCATACCACTCCCTCCCCCTGGTGCTCCACGGCTCTATCACCTGTTGAGTTGGGCCCAAGCTGGAGCCACTCCATTGCCCTCCCTGGCCCACAGGTGAATGTACTGGCCCTCAGCATCTGCACTCGGGAAGCCTATCAGTCCATGAAGGAGCGAAATGTGGACGACGGGCATATTATTAACATCAACAGGTGAGGCCGGGCAGCCGAGGCTTAGAGCTCGGGTCCTGTCAGAGCTCACTTAACCTCTAGATGGCATTTTCTTCGATAGTAAGATAGGTATTTAATATCTAAGTGGCATGATTCTGACAAAGGGAAGTGCCTTTGTCTAGAGGGGAGAGCTCAGCCCCTGCCCTCCATAGCCAATGCCTGGGAACTCTCCAGGGACTGAGTGCCGTTGGACCTTTTCCTCAGACCCAGGGATACATCTGCATTGTGGTCCAAAGAGACTGCACAGGCTCTAGTGTAGGAGGCCATTGCCTGTGGGGACATGGTCTGACAACTCCAGACATCTCCCAGGAGAGCCCTGTCAGTGAGCATGCAGACGTGTGGTGAGGCTCCTGTCAACCTGTCTGGCTGCAGAAGTGAGTACGCAGGAGGCCGAAGGGCAGCTTCAGGACAAAGCAGCTTTCAGGAGCTGCGTAGACAAGAGACTAGATTTATCCAGTGGACTGTAGGGATAGCCATCCGCGGTCCCCACCAAGGCTCCCTGTCAGCCTCTGGGTAACGAAGCTGAGCCGGAAGACAGGAGCACCGCCAGTGGCTGTGGAACTTTACTCTCTCCTCTCTCCCCTTCCCTTCTCCCACCCAGCATGTGTGGCCACCGAGTCCCACCCGAGTCTATGATCCATTTCTATTGTGCGACCAAGTATGCCGTCACAGCATTGACAGAGGGACTAAGGCAAGAGCTTCTGGAGGCCCAGACCCATATCCGGGCCACGGTGAGGCTGTGGTCTAGCCCTGGTGGGAATGGTGTGGGCCCAGCCCTCCCGCCTGCACATGTCCAGGAAGGCCTGCTGAGAGCCCCTGGGTTCAAGGAGTGCACAAGTCCTGGGCGCTGCTGCTCCTTACGAGGACAGTCACCTCGCTCCACTCACCCCAGAGCCAATGGTCAGACTCACACTTGGAGTGGGAGGGGCCAGCTCGAAGGGACCACGGAGTGAGACTAAGAGAAATCACACACACACAGTGGCTGGAGACCAGCACTCTGGGCTCTTCCCTAGAAGACCACATGACTTTGGGTAAATCACTGAACCTCGCTCAGCTTCAGTCTTCACATTTGTGAGATGCAATGATAATGACACTTACTTGGTTATGAGGCTTTAAAAACAGCGCTTTGGAAAGCATTAACCAAACCTATAGGAACGGCTCCATATGTAGTACAGGGTATTGTGAGAGGTGCCAGCTGGAGCTCTCAGTGGTGACTTTGGAAGGAGGAGGACAGTTGAGGACATGAGGCGGCTGCCATTGTGAACCGGGAGCCCTGTGGCCTCTAGCCTTCCCCTCAACCTCCTCCAAGGCCTGAGAAAGCTCAGGCTGAGCAGTGTATCTCTGTTGGCCCAGTGTATCTCTCCAGGCTTGGTGGAGACACAGTTTGCCTTCAAACTCCATGACAAGGACCCCGAGAGGGCAGCTGCCACCTATGAAGACATAAAGGTGGGCGCCTTCTGGGCCTAGTAAAGCCGCTCAGTCCTCTGGACCCCCAGACTGCTCCTCTGCAGCCTGTCACTCCTGGAGGGTCGGGTGGGGATGTGGAGGTTCGAGTCCCTCTGAGGGGGTTGGAGCTTGGTCACGTCGGCCCTGTCCCCTGTCTCAACGCTCTCCCCTGGTGCTCAGTGTCTCAAACCCGAGGATGTGGCCGAAGCTGTCATCTATGTCCTCAGCACCCCGCCACACGTTCAGGTGAGTCTGCCTTAGCTGTTTACCCACTGGGAGAAGCCCAACTATGCCCAGAAGTGGGCCGGCCGCAGGGAGTCCTTGAGGGTAGCTGCCTCACGCCTTCTGCCTTCCACAGGTTGGAGACATCCAGATGAGGCCCACAGAGCAGGTGACCTAGTGTTCTGTGGGGGGCCCTACCTTCCCCACCCTCATGGCTTGCCTCCTGCCTCTGGATTTCAGCTGTTGATTTCTGGACCCTGGATCTTACTTTCGGTATCCACTCCACTAGGGATAGAAAATTTCTCAAATTATTCCCAATTTACATGTGAAAAAATGGGCTGGGGAGAGAAGGCGTGGTCATGACTATTTTATCTGCTGACTTGTTCTGGGTCCCCCTTTGGGTTCCTTAGCCTTTGCTCTCCTCAGCCTCTTCCTTTTACCTAGCAAGGGGATGTGGCCCAAAGGGGCACTGTGTATCTTGCACTCTCCCCTCTGCCCCTTAGGGTTGGGGTGGCAGAGACAGGACCTCATCTTTCACTTGTATGGTTACCCAGGGCTCCATGCTCCCTGCCCCCACTCCCCACCTCTCCAGCCCAATCTTGGCTACTCTCCTGGGGTCATCACTGCACTCTGACCACGGCTACAGAATACCAGGGCCTGTCTCCCAGCTTCCATTTCACTGTAACAATTAAAGAGAAAGATTGAAACCTACTCTGGCTTTAGAAGTGTCTTTCATTTTTTCCCTCCTCCTTGGTGATCAGTGTGGCTGTGTCTCAGAATTTCTTCCAGGTAAGTGGGAAGATGGGTAGATTTGGAGCATCACTTCTGGAGTAAGCAGGAGATGGTTAGTGCCAGGACCAGCCAAAGATACATGTGTCTCCAAAAAATATAAGTAAGTAAATAAGTAAATAAATAAGAGGGCAGGGAGATGGTTCAGAGTTAAGAACATTGGCTGCTCTTCTGGAGGTTCCAAGTTTGCTTCCCGGAACCCACATGGTGACTCCAAGTTCTTCTGGTCTCCTGGGGCACCAGGCATGCATGTGGTGCACAGCCATACACACAGACAATACACCTCCATGCATAAACAATGAAAGACTTGAAAAATAAAATAAATTGGACCCAGGCATGCATAGTAATGCACACCTTTAATACCAACACTTGAGAAGCAGAAGCAGGGGGGTTGCCATGAATTTGTGGCCAGCCTGGTCTACATAAGGAATTTTAGGCCATTCATAGGGATAACTTGGTGAGACATTGCTTTAAAAAAAAGTTTAGCTGGGCAGTGGTGGCTCACACCTTTAATCCCAGCACTCAGGAGGTAGAGGCAGGTGGATCTCTGTGAGTTTGAGGCCAGCCTGGATTACAGATCGAGTTCCAAGACAGGCTCCAAAGCTACACAGAGAAACCCTGTCTCCAAAAACCAAAACAACAAAACAAAACAAGTTTAAAAAGGAAAAAAGCAAAAAGACAGGCTAAAAAGAGTTAGTAGAGGGGTCTGAGCAGTCAGCAAAGGAGTCCCAGCGTTACCATGGGCCAAGAGCATCAGTTGCTTGTCAACATAGACATGATAGTCTTCACTGCAGTGGTCTGGAGATGGGAAATATCGTTGGGGTTCTGCCGGCTGATACTGAGGGTCTGACAGGATAAGGTTCTGGGAACAATTCCCAGAAGTGACGCTGTGCCTGAATGTGAGGAGGAAGGCACCAAGACTGACCTGATTCAACAGGATGACCAAACCATCGCCTTAAATTGGTCTTTGCAAGGTGTGCAAGTGAATGCGGCTAGCCCAGCTTCCTGACACCTCCCATCACCGGGAGCAGAGCGAGGCAGGGTCAGCTCAGCATCAGCACCACAGCCTCTGAGCTCGCCCACCGCAGTGGAGGTAGTGCGAGCCATTCCTGTAGGGGGTGCTTTGGAGCCATAGTTGCGGCCAAGCACACGTGTGCGTCATCGGACAGGGGGCCGGGCCTCCGGAACCCGGAAGCTGGGGACCCACGTGGGAGTCTGGGAGGCGACTATCTTGGCTTGGGTGTCAGGTTGTGGGCAATCTTTGAGCGGGGACTCGGGACAGTTTGTCCTACGTGAGGGGTCGTGGTGGGGGAGGCCAACGGGTCCTCTGCACCCGTCTGTTAGTGGAGTCCCAGGCGCAGCTGGAGCTATGCGACTGCTCCGGGCGGTCGGGCGCCTGGTTGTCCGTCATTTCTCCCGGGTGGCGCGGCCTGGCGGGGAGGAGCTGAGCCGCCTGCTTCTGGATGACCTGGCGCCGACCCAGCGGCTGGAACGTCTGTTCGGCCTGTCCCCGTGCCTCCTGGCCCTGCGGGCCGCCCGCCGGCGCGTGGCCCGGCTCCTGCTCCAGGCCGGAAAGGCTGGGCTGCAGGGGGAGCGGGCCGAGCTGCTCCGGGTGGCCGAGGCGCGGGGCATCCCTGTCCTGAGGCCCAGGCGGCAGAAACTGGACGCCTTGTGCGGCTACCAGGTGCACCAGGGCGTCTGCATGGAGGTGAGCCCGCTGCGGCCCCGGCCTTGCGATGAGGCGGCAGAGGCGAGCCCAGGCGACGACCCTCAGCAGCTGTGGCTTGTCCTTGAGGGGCTCCAGGATCCCCGGAATCTTGGGGCTGTGCTGCGCTCCGCTCACTTCCTCGGAGTAGACAGAGTCATCACCAGCCGGAGAAACAGGCACGGACGTCCCTTAGTTCCTTTTGCGCCCAATCTGGAGGCGGAGCCAAGTACCTAAGCACCTTGGGGGGAGCCCGAGGGTGTGGAGGGCGCGGGGCTTGAGATTGCCGGGTTTAACGCGGATGGTGGGGAACCTTTGCAGCTGCCCGCTTACTCCAGTAGTCAGCAAGGCCAGCGCTGGGGCTATGGAGGTGATGGACGTGTTCGCCACTCCTGACCTGGCCGGTTTTTTGAAGGTAATGTGGGACGAGAGGGGAAGGAGAGGCGATGAGTCTAGCTCGGGCTTTTAAAGCCACTTCCAGCTAGCAGTGGATGGGGTTCGCGGGGGAGAAGAGAAGGGAACGTGGTGGCTTTGATTCCTACGGCCTTCTAAGTCCCACTGGGAAGGATCCCAGGGTCTTTAAAATCACAAATGGAGCATCGTCTGAAGTTAGGGATTTTCTCGCCTCATTTCCTTTACTGCCTTGGCCATCTGCGTCAGCAAGTCAGTGTCTGACACCTTTGGGTCTTCAGCAAGACCCCGGGGACCTGGTGGACAGGAGATGTGGGTATCTGGAATAGAAGCTCAACTTTGAACAAGCAGTTTTGAACAAGGCTTTGCTAGGGCAAGCTTTAGCGTTCTTCAGCTGTGTTTTCCTGGCTAGACACTAGGGGGCAACATTGCCTCGTATTTGGCATCCCCTCTGATTTCTGTCCATCCCGGTCCCCCGCCCACCCCACGGTAAGACAATAACCTTGAAAGGAGGGGGAAGAAAGCTGCCTAATAAACTTACATTCAAGCCACGTGTATAATTTCAGATTTTCTAGTAACCACGCTGAAAAATAAAAAGAACCAGATATCTGTAATTTGAGCCTTTAGCAAGTGGAGGCAGGAAGACCATTCCTTTCAAGGCCAGCCTAGGCTACATGAGACCCAATCTCAAAAAACAGAACAATAGCATCATCCAAAAAAAAAAAAAAAAAAAAACCCAGAAAAGTAAAAAGAAACATAATTTATTCAATATGCCCAAAATATCATTAAAACATACACTTTATTATTAAAGAATAAAATTTGAGACAGGATTTTGTTGTGTAGCCAAGGCTGGCCTCATATCCACAGAAATTCTCCTGCCTGGGCCTCTTTATAGGTGTATGCCACCATGTCCAGATTAAATACCATTTTTAAATGTTTATACATAATACATCTCAGTTTGGACTAGCCATATTTAATCCTTAATAGTCAGATGTACTAGGACTGGAGAGATAGCTTAACAGTTAAGAACATTGGCTGCTCTCCTAGAGGACCCAGGTTTGATTCCCAGCACCCACATGGTGGCTCCTTTTCCAGGGCATCTGATGCCCTCTTCTGGCCTCCATGGGTATCAGGCACATGTGGTACACACACATACATGCAGATAAACCCTCAGACACATAAGAAAATGTCAAAATCTTTAGGAAGTAGTCAGGTGTGCCCGGTGGTTCTCATATTGAACAGCACATGCCTAGAAGCATTTTCTGTCTTCATCTGATAAACAGTCCCCCTTCTGAGGAATTCTGGCTGAGCTTGGTGGGAAATGGGATTTTTTGTTTGTTTGTTTGTTTCCTGAGACAGGGTTTCTCTGTGTAGCTCTGGCTATCATGGAACTCACTCTGTAGACCAGGCTGGCCTCGAACTCAGATCCGCCTGCCTCTGCCTCCCGAGTGCTGGGATTAAAGGCATGTGCCACCACTGCCAGGCTTAAACTCCCATTTTGATTTGTCTGCCTCCCAAATGGATGCTCTACCTTGGATCTCACCCCCCACCTCAACTCCAGACTTATTACGTCTGCTGCAACTCTCCCGTCCGCTCCCACAGGGCTGACCATCTGTTTTTCTAGGGCCTACTCAGCTCAGTTGTTCAGCCCAGAGATCGTCTTTGACTTCTTGTCCTCACAGCTACATCCCACGTGTCCCCAAATCCTTTTGCCTTTTTCTTGGAGTTATTGCTACACCATCCCCATTTCTCATCGTTTCTCCTGCTGCCCTAGTCCGAGTTCCCATCTCCTCGGTGTTTGGGTCTCAGCGTGACAGCTCAGTGATTCTGCTGACACCCAAGTCAGACTGGGTCACTTCTTTGCTCAAAATGTTTCAAAGCGCCAGGTCCGGTGGCACATACTTATAGTCCCAGTACTTGAGGGACTAAGACCGGAAAATCACCATGGGTTCAAGGCCAGCCTGGGGTTCATAGTGAGTTCAAAACAAAATGAAACCTTTCGAAGCTTTGATATCAGTATAAAAGCCCTGTGCATCCAGTGGCCCCTGAGACCTTACTCTGTGTGGCCAGTGCTCTGCCTCATTGACAGCATTCCCTCTGGCTGGCTTACCATTCCTCAGATATGACAGGTGAGCAGGGCCTCGGTGTCTCCATACTTGCAGGTCTCCCTTCCTGGAACCTTCCCCCACTGCCACAAGATACTCACTCATTAGTTATCTTCCGATCTGCTCTCTCCCGTCACTCCAAAGACTTCCACAGCCACCCTACCACACGGCTGGGATTTTCATCCAGTGTGTTGTTGGCCCCATCCTCAGATGCTGGCCAGCTAGAGGATCTGACTGACCCTAAGTTGAAGGCACCTCTCAGTGAATGTGTGTGTACAAGGCTGGGCTCCTTGGCCATGGCTCTGATGACGATTTGGTGAGCCAGGACATGGTGTTTTCTTTCCTCTTTCAGGCCAAGGCCCAGCAGGGCTGGCTCGTGGTGGGCACAGTAGGCTACCCAGGTCCTGAGATCTCCCAGTCCTCCAAGGTCCCCGTCACTAGCTGCCTAGAGTTCCTCTGGGACCGGCCTACTCTCCTCGTGCTGGGTAAGTAGGCTACATCTGCTTTGATGTTTTCAATGTCTGTTTTCTAAGCGTGTGGACTTCAGGCTGGGCCTCCCTAATACTGTCCCATGTCCTGTAGGCAATGAGGGCTCTGGTCTGTCCCAGGAGGTTCTTGCCTGCTGCCAGATGCTCCTTACTATTCTGCCCAGGCGTCACCTGCCTCCTGGTCTTGAGTCTTTGAATGTGTCTGTGGCCACAGGTGAGTCTATCCCTCCCTTCACCCCCAGCCACATGGGGGTGGCTTCTGTCCCCCCTCATTTTCTGACTGACTTATCTTGAACAGGCTGATGCCTTACTTGCTGTATGTGGGAAACAAGAGTGTGCCCTGCGTGTGCCCTGATCCTTTCCATCTCCCCCTTGCCTTTAGGAATTCTTCTACACTCCATTTGCAGCCAGAAGAAGAGTTTCCCTATACAGACGGAGAAGGGACAACTTCTCCAAGATACCTGAGAACCCTTAGCTACGCCCGAAGGACTCAGAGAAGCCCAGTACCCAGGACTGCTGCCATTGTGGTCAGAAAAACAGGCCAAATGTGGGCTTCCGTAGACTGTCTGAGATGAACGTGCGTAGGAACCGGAACGAGTCACACACAGATCCTCAGGCTTGGGTGTGCTGGGCTCTCTGCCTGTGAGAGCCTGTTTACTGGCTACGGTCAGGAGATATTTGCAGTGGAGACCAAGGAGGGTTTCATTTCCAGTTGGAAATGGTGGTTTGCTAATTTCCAGGATGGGTTAAGACAGACGGTATCTGTCCTGGATCCTGCCCAGGAGTCAAAAGGCTGTTTTAGCATGAGAAAGAATCAGACAGTCCAGTGCAGGGTGTGTGGAGTGTGAGAGTGGGGATGTAGAGGGAAGCACACCCCACCCGACCCGGTGATGAGGAGGAAATAAATGAGAGGTGCCATCCAGAGAGCGCCTTACAGCTGAACTGTCGTCCCCTGTTTGTCCACTAGGTGGCAGTCTTGCTCTTTGCACCATAGTTTTGCCAAAGCTTGCAGGGAGACCCCTCTTTGTAGCCCCATTAGAGACTTAGAGACAGGGAAAATATCAAGCAGCTCTCTCTCTCTCTCTCTCTCTCTCTCTCTCTCTCTCTCTCTCTCTCTCTCTCTCACACACACACACACACACACACACACACACCACACACACACACACACACTGTCCAGCCCAGTGGAAGGAACCTATGACCCAAAGCCCTTGCCTTTGAGTCTGAGAGGTTGTGAAGTCAGGGTCACTGTTGTACAGCCCCAATAGGCTTGGTCCCCTCCTCCAGGGTCCCACAGTGGAGCAGAAGTAATATTGCTGAACAGTGGTCTCACTCTGGGCTGCTCGTTGGAACACCTAATGAGCGTTAAAGAAACAAGCCAGCCGGGCGGTGGTGGCGCACGTCTTTAATCCCAGCACTCGGGAGGCAGAGCCAGGTGGATCTCTGTGAGTTCGAGGCCAGCCTGGGCTACCGAGTGAGTTCCAGGAAAGGCACAAAGCTACACAGAGAAACCCTGTCTCAAAAAACCAAAAAAAAAAAAAAAAGAAACAAGCCAAATACAGCAGCCACCGTGTGGTGCTGAGAACGTTGGGTACACCCTGGGGAGTAGGATTTTTTTTCTTTTTCTTTTTGAGACAGGGTTTCATATACTATGTACCTAGGGTGTCCTAAAACTTGCCATTTAGCTGAAGATTACATTGAACTTTTGATCCTCCTACCCCTAACCCCCAAGTGCAAGAATTCAAGACATACCCCACTATGCCAATTTATATGTTGCTGGGGATAGATGCAGGGCTTTGTGCAAGCTAGGCAAGTACTCTACCTACTGAGCTACGTCTGAGCCCTAGGCTGGATAATCCTTTGCTGTAGGAACTGTCCTGAGCATGGTGAGATGTTCCCACTAGACTCCAGGAGCTCTGGTTATGAAACCAAAACTGTCTCCACAAATGGCCATATGATCTCTGACTGACATCCCTGAGTGTGGGATGGAGGACAGCAACCCCTAAATTGTGATCCTGGTTGCTGGGAGACTTGGGAAAAGTTACCTCCACACTTTCTTTATATCCTTGGAGGGTGCAAAGAATAATGGAAACGTGGTACCTTGTGTGTAGTAGGTGCTCAGTAAATAGCACAGCTATAGTGCCAACCCTCTTACTTTTTTACTTCTGAAACAGGTCCCAGGCTGGTCATGAATTCATCCTAGCCCAGGTAGGCCTTAAACTTGCAATCCCCCTTTCTCAGGCTCCTGAGCATCTAGGATTACTAGCTTAAGCCACCAGGCCCAATTCATTTCTGTCTTGCTTGTTTTCTTTCAAGAGTATTTTTAAATTATGTGTATTTTATTTATTGGTTTGTGCGTGTCTGTGTGTGGGTATGTGGATGTGAGTGCACATGCCTTCAGAGTCCAGAAGAGGGCGATTCAGGAGGCAGAGGCAGGCAGATCTCTGAGTTTGAGGCCAGCCTAGTCTACAGAGTGAGTTTCAGGACAGCCAAGGCTGCACAGAGAAATCCTATCTCAAAAAAAAAAAAAAAAAAAAAAAAAAAAAAGAATAAAGAGAAAAAGAAAAGGTTTAATTTTTGCCATGTATGGTAGCGCATACCTTTAACCCCAACACTCTAGAGGCAGATGCAGGCAGATCTCTGTGAGTTTGAGGCCAGCCTAGTCACCAAATTAAATTCCAGAACAGCTAGGGCTGTTACATAGAGAAACCCTATATCAAACAACCAACCAACCCCCACAATGTTTTAATTTTTTATGTGTATGTTTTTGTGGCTCTGTGTGTGTGCCGTGTCCAATGGATCAGTATTTCTTTCTTTCTTTCTTTCTTTTTATTTTATTTTTTAATTTTTTTTGGTTTTTCGAGACAGGGTTTCTCTGTGTAGCTTTGCGCCTCTCCTGGAACTCACTTGGTAGCCCAGGCTGGCCTCGAACTCACAGAAATCCGCCTGGCTCTGCCTCCCGAGTGCTGGGATTAAAGGCATGCGCCACCACCGCCCGGCTCTTTTTTTTTTTTTAATTTAATTTTATTTTATTATTTATTTATTTATTTTTGGTTTTTTCGAGACAGAATTTCTCTGTGTAGTTTTGGTGCCTTTCCTGGATCTCACTCTGTAGACTAGGCTGGCCTTGAACTCACAGAGATCCGCCTGGCTCTGCCTCCTGAGTGCTGGGATTAAAGGTGTGCGCCACTGCCGTACAGCTGGATCAGTATTTCTTAAAGGTTCCCAGTTGGTGTCATGCCTCCGGGTTCAGGATCCCTGGCTTGCTAGGCATGGTGGTACATGCCTGTAATCCCAACACTCAGGAGGCTGAGGCAGAGGAGTGTTAATGAGTTTGAGACTAGCCTGTTTGTATAGCAGGTATCAGACTAGCCAGGGCTAGATAGCAATACCCTGGTTTTTTTTTTTGTTTGTTTTTTGTTTTTTTTAAATGTTTATCCCCTCGTCCTGGATGGTGCTTAGTGGCTGTCAGAATGATCTAGTGTTTGACATACCATTATAGGCTTACCTTCAGGACAGCCTCTAATGAAATTAAGCTGTCCTACACCCCTGGTAATAGGCCTGTTTACACTAAGAAGGTTGGGAAAGCACCAAGACCCCCAGGTTCTGTGTGCCCAGGCAAACTCCAAGGAATTCCTGCTGTGAGAACGAATGTCCTTTGAGATTGTCTAAAACTACTGTTTAGTTTTTGTTAACTTGACACTAACTAAAGTGATCTGGAAGAGGAACCTCAACTGAGAAAATGCCTCCATCAGATTGGCCTGTAGGCAAGTCCCGTGGGCATTTCCTTGATGAATAATTGATATGGGAGGATCCAGCCCATTTGTGGGTGGTGCCACCTCTGGGCAGGAGGTCCTAGGGTGTGTATGAAAGCAAACTGGGCTGGAGAAATAGTTCATCAGCTAAGCACACTGGCAGCTCTTCCAGGTTCGATTCCCAGGACCAATGTGGCAGCTCATAACCATCTGTAACTCCGGTCTTAGGGGATCTGGCACCAAGCACCCACATGGTTCATAGACACACATGTACACAAAACACTTGAACACATAAAAATAAAAGTAAATATTAAAATATCCCTGGCCTCAGTTTTCATCGTCTATAAGATGCAGATGCAAGAACATATAAGGAAAGGCCACCATCCACATCTGGAGGACACTTGCTGTTCCCTAGTGCACCTGAAGATTGGCCTGGAGGTCAGAGCACTGGGATGTGCTTCTCATTCATACTGGCCTCAGTTTCCCCAGAGGTTCTAGGCTCCCCTTCAGCTGCCACACAATGATTTTCCCTGGGATACTGGGAGGAGTTGGGGGAAGCTGGAGTTGAAAGAACATTGACAGAATTCTCTTTTGGCCAGCCCCTTCCCATTTTCCCTTCATCCTGGACTGGAATATATATATAAACAAGAGGCTACATTGTCAAACCATCCCCAAGCCTGGGGCCCTGAAGTAGATCCCTCTCCTTGCTCCTGCAGGGCCAGGCACCAGGGATCCCCACAGTTTGTAAATGTAATCAACCTTGAGGTCTCTCACTTCCACAGGTACAATTAGCATGCCCATCTGCTAATCCCTGATTAATGATGTTTACAAACAGGGACTCTGCTCAGAGCACCTCGGCCCCTTTTTCCCCCAGCTGAGAGGTGGGAGTCTTCTCAGCATTCCCTCCTCCCTTCTGCTGGCCTCCCTGTCCTCTCCCTCCTTCTCCAGGCAGTGGGCAGAGCTGTACCCTAACACCCATGCTCACTTGCACACCTGGGAAGGAGAGACAGACAGGAAGTCTTAATGGTGGGGCTGGAATCCTGCCCACTCTGCATTCTTCCCCCTCCGGAACTTCAAGGACACATGGTAGCCATGCTGCCTTTATCTCCCACTCCAGCCCTGCCTCCCTGTGTGGCGTCCTTGGTAGGTACATGCCAGGTGCACTGTACCAAATAGCACAGGGAACAAATACTTTTTAATCTGAATTTCATTAATTTTATTTAGGCAAGATCTCATGAAGCCTCAGACTTGTGTAGTCAAGGCTGGCCGTGAACTCCTGGATTCTTCAGCCTCCATTTTTGAAGTGCTTACTTAGATCATGGGTTTATTTGATGCTGGAGAGCCAACCCAGAGCCTAGTGCATCTTGGACACACACGGTACTATCTGAGCTATATCTTCAGCACTGGCCTCGAACTCACGGTTTCCCTGCGCAGCCTCCTGAGTGCTGGTATTATTGGCGAGTGCCACCATGCACCACCCTGTGAATACAGATTCCAGACAGTCCCATGTTGTTGGTCCTAATGTTGGTTTTGCTTTAGCTAAGTTTCGTCTTCTGTAAAATAGAGGCAGGGTGGTGCTCATTATATAGGTTTCAACTATATAGGTTGGAGGGGAGGATTTATAATGAGATATATGAAAGAGACTTAGCACTGTGTACAGGAAATAGTAAGTGCCCAATAACCGTGAGCTTTGTACTTCAATGAAAATATCGAGGATGATGAAAGGGGGCTTCTGAAGCCCGAAGTTCCCCGAGGACCCCTCCTTCTCGCCCCATCTCTGGGGAGAAGGGCAGGTCCCAGCTCATTACTGATGGGGGCTGGGGTGGAGGTGTCAGATTAGAATCACTCCTGGGTCTGTTCGCAGCTTCCCTGTTTCATTAACACCTCCCCGGTGGTCTTAGGCTCATCCTGCTGGGGGAAGCACTCCAGAAAGTTCTGACCACCTCCCACCCAGCCTGAACTCTGTGGTCCTCACTTAAAGGCTGTGCTCTAGATGTGCACAGAGGGGTCTTACCCCCGGGGAGGCTGACCCCGGACTAGGGGTATCATTGTTCCCATCTCCTGAGTGTCCTGGAGGCCTGGTCAGGAGGCACGTGGGATAGCCCATTCTTTGCCCTCCCCTGTCAGCCTTTCATCCATAGGTTGGTGTCAATCTATCCCTCACCCCTACCCACCCCCACCCAGGACTACATCCTGGTTCCTTCCTTCAGAATCCTCAGTGTGAATGTGGCTTAAACCTTATGTCCAATTCCTACTCACCTTTTCTGACATGGACAAGCCTCTGAAAATTGCTTATCATTTGCTTTTTCTGTAAAATGCGGAAACCATACCTTGCAGGGGGCTGCACCGCGCTCTGGAAATTGTGAACTTGGTAATTGCTGACAACGGCTACTATTTTGCTCTGGGCAAAACTGCTCTGAGCATTACCTTCTCGCAGGCAGAACCTTGTCTAGTGGACTAGGGTGGGTGGAGAGGGAGGAAGGCCAGAGGCCCAGAGCCTCCTGCTCTCCCCTGGTGCATCTTCCAGTTCCTTCCAAGATTGGAAAGGGCTGAACCACTGTTGAGTTGAGACCAGACTGCTTCTAAACAAAGTTCCCTTCAATCGCAGCCCTCGAGGGATTTTTCTGGCCCTCTCCATCACACTGTTCCACCCTCACCGGCTGCAGGGGAGGACAGGAGCTACCCCTGCTGTCTCTTTTGCTGGCTCCTTGCTCCTTAGGCTCTCTGCTTTTCACTGAGGTCTGTGGGCGTCAGAAAGGAGACTCCTTAAAAAGCAGTTGATTTTGTGGTTTATTAGCAACCTCAGACATTTTCCACAAATTGGGCAGCTTCCCTTAGAAAGAGGAAATGCAAACAGTAGTCTTGGTCCCTTCTTGCAAGTGGTTCTAGGTCTTTCTTTCAGCCTCTACAGGCGGGCAGGAATTATTGTGCTTATGTTGTTGTTATTATTGTGTGTAGGTGGATATGAGTGCCACAGCATGTATGAGGGTGAGTGCCACAGCATGTGTGTGGGTGAGTGGTACAGTGTGTATGAGGATGAGTGCCACAGCATGTGTGTGGGTGAGTGCCACAGCATGTATGTGGGTGAGTGGTACACCATGTATGTGGGTGTGAGTGCCACAGTATGTATGTGGGTGAGTGCCACAGCATGTATATGGGTGTGAGTGCCACAGCATGTATGTGGGTGAGTGCCACAGCATGTGTGTGGGTGAGAGTGCCACAGCATGTATGTGGGTGTCAGAGTGCCACAGCATGTATGTGGGTGAGTGGTACAGTATGTATGTGGGTGAGTGGTACAGTATGTACGTGGGTGAGTGGTACAGCATGTATGAGGAGATCAGGGAAGAAATTTTAGGGTCATTTCTCTCCCACTTTTACATGGGTTCCAGGTCTGTCAGGCTTTTGCTGCAAGCACCTTTACCCACAGGGACTCATGTAGCTCAGGCTAGCCTCAAGCTCGCTATGTAGCTGAGGATGACCTTAAACTCCTGATCCTCCTGCCTCCACCTTGCTGTGATTCCAGAGGCACACGGCCATGCCTGGCTTACACAGTGGGGGGAGGGGGGGCTTTGTGTATGCTTGACAAGAGAGCGACATCCAGTCCAGTCATTTTGTGTCTCAGACCCTGTCATGGGGACAGCACACCCTAGTGTTTAAACGACTAAACAAGTGAAGGAATCCTGAGGCTGGCCGCTAACTGCCCCCCTCCCTTCCAACCTCCCATAGCAGGGTGGAAGGCACCACATGTTTCCAGCTGGCCTTGACCTTGCACTCAGACTGAGTCAGAGGCAGTGGGTCCGGTCCGTTATTCCCGGCTGCAGCTGCTTTTGATTCTGTGGGGAAAATGGGCTAATGGAGGGCCAAGAAAAAGCTCCACAGACTTCTAGACCTCTGGGGCTCTCTGAGGGCATCTGTACCTGGGCCTGGCGTAGACAGGCCCTTGCAGAGACGAGGTGCCAGCAGGGTTGGGCATTGTGCAAGGGTTGGATCTTGTCTAATCTGAGCCCTGAGTCTCACTCATAGCCACGGCACCCTCACCTTGGTGGTTTTGGGATCAAGAGCAGGAACATATGGTGATGGCGATGACGACGGCTATGAGGGATGCACCCTTCCTAAGGCTCTTCAGTACTCACAAGATGGCTCACAATCTCACTGAATTCCCATAGCACCTTCGACGAAGGGCTCTTGCTCCCTTTGGTTTGTAGATGGGAAAGTGCACTTGCCCATGGTCGTTTTATGCAGTCAGAAGGGTTTGGGAAGGACAAAGGGCTGGGTGAGAACAGGACAGGGGCAGGGAAAGAACCCTCTAGCCTAGCACCACTTAGGAGGCCTGCTGCTGAGAGCTTGCCAAGTCTACAGTGACATCCTACATTGGTACCTCAGTGCAGGCGTGGGGCACCCCCACCCCCAGCTGTGCATGAGCTTGCACCAGGCCGTAAGACCCTGCAGTGGGGTGCTGCAAAGAGTCTGGACCCCTGGAGAAGCCAGGCTTGTGTTCAAATCCTGGCTTTGCTCCAGTGCTCCCGAGTCCACTTTGTCCTCGTGAAGCAGAGCTTCCTCCCGGGATCAGATGACCGTTCCTTCCTGTCCTTTTTTTGGTGGTTGTTTAGTTTTCATCTTTCTCAGCATCTCCTTCATAGCTGCCACTTGGCCCTCATTCATGGGCGCCAGCATCTTACCCTGCCTCCCGTTTCTCGGTTTCTCGTGATCTCCATTCTGTCTCTCTGGCCTGGCCAGTTCCTAGTCCCCCCTGGGGCTGCCCTCTCTCTGGGCCCATGTCTGCGCTCCCTGCCTGCCCCTTTTCTCTTTTATTTTCTCCCCTGGCTCTCATTACCCCAAGGGCTGATCAATGGCAGCCGCTGGTTATTGATCTGGGTAGGCATCCAAGTGTGACTGCCCCAGGCCAGTATTGATGGAGAGAATCAGTAGTGAGGCTGGAGGACAGTGTGGCTGGGAGCTGGGGGTACAAAGGAAGGAAGTGGGGCTCCCTCTCCCCTGCCGGGACTTGGCAGTGGAACTTGGTGGTTGTTTTTTCCGAGACACTGTTTCTCTATGTAGCAGTCCTGGCTGTCCTGGAACTCGCTCTGTAGCCCAGGCTGGCCTCAGACTCACAGAGATGCCCCTGCCTCTGCCTCTGGTGCTGGGGTTAAAGGTGTGGGCCACCATGCCCGGCTGACGATGGGACTTCTAAAAAGTGTAGCTCTACCAGGTGAATGGGAGGGGAGTGGAAGAGTGCTTCGGAAGACAGAGGTCAAGGCTTAGCTCATACTAGTAAGTACTTATTGAGCACCTACTGTGTGCTAGAAGGGGACTATAGC